TATACCCTGGGCACGCGCTCTCGCGGGAAGGCAGTGGCTGTAGGCACGCGGAGATTTGGAGGAAACGGGAAAATAACGCCCAAGACAAGTGACACATAGTATCTTTCTTGAAATACTTAGAGTACGTAATCAGATTCTAACGCCAACGTGTGATGACAGCCTTGACAGTGAGTGACAAGACAGTGATGTTTGCAGAGGCCAAAACCAATGGATGCTGTTAAGAATCGCCGGTGACAGAAAAATTAGCAGCTCTCCCAGCGAATGTTAAATGATTAATTCCGTTGTCATAACAACGTAAATGAATTCAAACTAAAATTTATTTTCTTGATTAATACAAAAATCAAAATGAAACTATCGTGCCTGGCACTAGAGATTCTAGAGAGGAAAACGACAAAGTAAAAATACAACCCTTTATTGGTGTGCGTACAGAAGCATAAATGTGTTTTGAAGTGTTCTTGATAAATATGAAATAAACGGGCCTACACAGCGCCACGGACCTACAATGTTTTCATCGTGTTGTGACCACTGATGGCAGATTAAAGTACAAGCAGGTTTCATGAATATCGAGTGATTGGAACTTACGTGGAGGCAAAAATGAAGTACCTCAAAGAATCTAAATGGCCAAAGAATGCAAAAAAGCGGCGCGGCATAAAATGTAAGATCATTTGGGCTAGTTGAAGGTGAATTAAGGTTCATTTACATAATACAAGACGAATAATATGTGCGGCAGTAGCCATAAAACTGCCGGTCTACATTCCAATGAAGTTCTTGGACATGCGGTAAGGATGGAGAGAAAGCAATTATAATGCGGAAGATGCAAGTTACAGCGGGAGACACGTGGCAACATGGAAGCATCAGTATGCGGTACGTCACTTCATCTTCATGTTACACACAGCATCTATCTATTCCAATTTAGCGTTCAGACGTAAAATTTACGTATGATAATTCTCCGTAGTACGGTGAATAACTTTTACCTTCTAGTATATGCACTCGATTAAAAAGAATATTGAAATGCTGCACAATTTTTTTGTTTCATTTTATGGGTCCTTGATACCACAAAAAGGAATATTTTCTTCCTATATGTATTACAGTACTTTATCGTATCCATATTATAATCAAAATACATGTTTTGAGGGCCCTTGATACTGACAAAGTGGTTTGCCAAAACGTCAGTTCGTCTGTGAACTCCAATTTCTCAACCAGGGGTGTCCAACTTGCCAGGCCTCAAGGGCCACAACTAACACCTTTAATATGGTTGCTGGCCACATTTTCATTTCTCGGGTGATCCACGCCTGACTTCCCCCACTTTGTTGATCTCCGCAGTTGGCCCGGCTGCTCTGAAACGGTTGGAGGGGACTATGCGTGATATCGGACCGTACAATGCATGACGAAGTGAAACATATTTGGTTGACTTTGAATTTTATAGAAAAAAATCTTATAAAGAACCTATTTTTACATTAAGGGGGCATTCACCCCAGCAGAGAGAGCTAGGCACACAATGTTCTTACCCGATATGGATCCAAGGAACTTCCACTTTTACTAATAACATTAGGGAACAAGATGTTTACCTCCAAGAAGTTAGATGCGTAACATACTCAATTTTATACGAAGATTACGAATATCACAACAAAGACGTCATTTCGTGTCACAGTTTTAAAATATATTGAATCTTTGTACCGTATCATACAGAATTTTGCTATTAACGCAAATATATTTAAATTGCACTTCTAAGATATGTATAACCAATTCGCATAAAATCTACTCAAAAATAAAATACTTGTTCTGTTCATCTCTGCCACTTTCACGAGTTATCAACAGAAGACATTTTCAAAATGTTCGAAAAAATGGTTAAATAATGTCATGCAAAATTTCTTTCAAAATATAAATAGTGTTCATGGAAATTTGAATGAAATATTTTTAATTATGTGTTACTGTGTTATGTGATACTTCGAAGTAATGTTTGAACGAGATATTGCAAAGAGCTTCGAAAAACAGGTAAAACACTTTCTACTGCAGCTGGCTTTGACAAAAAAAAACGATAAATTAATTATTCGTATATTTACGAGAATTTTAAGCATTAAAACCCATGATTTATTTCAATTGCCATTATATGTAATCGAATATCAACACCTACGTAATTTACATAACCTTTAATACCTATCAGCTCTTCTTTAGTTAATCACTTGATGAAGTTTGGCATAAAACGTTCCAACAGTTTATTTAAAAGGAAGGTACAGCTACAGTATCCTTATATACTGTATTATAATCCACAGTTCCTAGCTTTTTCTGTCATACCCGAGAGGAACGGTTTTGATGACTGGGTGATAATTTGAACGATGGAAAATGGTATGATGAGAGTCTGGATAATCGGCCACTCCGACTAAACCTGTGCAAACTCGCTTTGTCCACCACAGATCGCGTTTGGATAGACCGGTTTGCAAATCCGATACCGTGAGGACATCGAGCGAAGTGGCTCAGGGCGTAGCGCGCTAACTTCGTATTTGGTTGGCCCAAGTTCAATCCTCGTGCCACCCATCAGACCGGAGTTTTCGTCGTTTCCGTCGGTCATCCAGGCGAATGCTGGGATGGTTCTACTGAAACAACCGCGAAACCAGCTTCGCTAGCCGCATTCGTTAACCACGTTAAATCACGAACGTTAAGCGAATTCGAGTCACCGCGGGTTCCTGGTTGGATGACCGTCTCGGAACCCGGGATCTAACGGCGCCGAGGCTAATCGTCATTTACGGGACATATAATGGCCAAAAACAAATACCTTGAGGACAAAGAGGGTGAGGCGGCTACCACACCACGGATCTCTCGTAGTATCCTTATCGGCCATCAGCCAAAAGCGCGTCAACAATAAGGCGACAGGAAGCAGACGAAAATAATCCCCGAGAGGCGTGGGCGCGTCGCGTCACGTCGCCCGCGGGCGCGACAAGTCGAGCCGGCCCTCTTGGCGGCGCCGTTCGCATGCACGGCGCGCGGCGGCGGCGTGTGCGTGTGCGTGTCATGCGGGGAATCGATGGGAGGGAACGGGTCACAGCGCCGCCTCAATCGTATTGAAGAACGCACGGAGACGTGCTCGGGCCTGCGCGCCGAGAAGGCGACGGGAAAGAACTTCCCAGGCGCCTTTACTTTATTGCGACACACGTGTCTCAAGTCTCTGGCAAAGAGAAAAATATCGTGTCGGACTGTTATACCCAAGGTGGGGGGTTCAAACCCGATCGACGCCGTGGATTTTTAAGGGCGAAAAATCCTTCGTACGCCTTCCTTCGGAAGGGAAGAAAAGCCGCCTGTCCCTGTTAGTAGATTTACTTGCATGTGAAAGATCCTCAAGCCTAAATGACGCCTCTGAGCTAAATTCAAATCCCCTGTTTCGTCGCCCAAGAAATACCTCCTTCCTCTGCTAGTTGGTGAAAGGAGCGTAGCGAAACTTGTGTGGTCAGACGGAAGAGTGGGCCTAATGGCCTGAATCTCGCCACGTAAAAGAAGGAATTAATTCAATTCAATATATTGACAAAGATGTGTTTGGATTGATGGAGGATTGTGGAACGAGAGGCAGCAGAGAACCCCAAAAAGCCTTGAGGAAACCTGCTTTGTCCACCACTAATTCCACGTGGATTGATCCCAGATTTGATACCGTTTTTGAACCCAGGACTCGGTGGAAGGCGAGCAATCTGATCGCTACATCACGCAACAGATCCCACGTTACGTGACACCATGGATCGCCCCTTCCGCTTGTTCATTTTCTTCGCTTATTTCTTAGAGGGAAAGTAAGTGTAGTTAGGGAGGAAGGAGGGGATAAATATTTTTGCGACTTTCTTTCCGTCCTAATAACTTCTGACAAAATAAAATCATTTATATCTTCAAAGATCTACACGTTCTATTAACAAACTCTTTACGTGTGAGTGATGTAGGCGGCATACATTTGCTTAAACATAAGTGCGACACTAACAAACTAACCAGCTGAAGCGACTAATGCCAATTAATTTATAACTTTAATTATTTATTACGCCAACTAATTATTAATTAAAATTAAACCACATTGCTTACTCATTGCTTCCTTTTTGTCTGAGAAAAAGTGTTGTGTGTAATTCCTTTACGAGACGTAGTGTAATAATATGTACAAAATCATACGTTAGCCGAATTGAAATGTATCTTATTCAAACGTCCATTTGAGAAATCTTATTTCCGTTTCCTAACTGAACGGTAATCTTGTCATATCTACAACTACCCATGGATTCTTTACTAAAAGGAAAATTAATAGGTATACGTATGTAATAAAATTCGGAAAAGTTATTTAAATATGATAATACAAAGAACCATCTTCTAATAATAGCTTCATATTTAAACATTCTACAAAAACGAAATCTAAAATCTGGAATAAATATTAATACACTACACTAAATGCTGTTTCAGGTAGCAGAGATCGCTAAGGCAGTAGTGCCGTGGCGGTCTTGGACCGAAGGATAGCGGGTTCGCGTCCCAACCTGGGCGTGATTGTTTGTGTATCTCTGTATGTTTGCGATTGCCCATTTCGTCCATCATCATCATCATTATAATCATTTCACTTCATCCTCCAAAGCCTACAACCCTGATGTAAAAATGGATTACGCATAAAAGTGCTGATCACTCCCTCACGTACATCTACACTCGATAAATATGACTGAGCCCCGGTGAATTGCACGTTCGCTTCGTCCTGAGTTGGGCAATACGCGACCAAAAAACAAACAAAACACAACACTAAATATTCATTAGAAATTTCTTAAGTGCTGCCACTATTCCCCGACGTTTGATGTCATTCTGAAGCGTCTCACATACAGCTAACGAGATTAGAATCATAATTATTCAGTTCTACATCCTACAGTTTGGTGATGCACAAGGCCAGCCCTGGTCCCACTCCCCCCTCTCAAAATCGTCCGCCCCCCCTTAGCGAAGCACGTCAAGCGCACGCGTCGCCGCCCATGCGCTTCGGCACGCGGGCGGACGGGCGGACTCACCGACTTGGCCGCCGGCGTAGACCGGGCGCGTGGTCTGCACGAGGATGGCGAGGAAGTCGGGCGCGAAGTGCAGCGGCGCCTCGTACACGAAGGCCGGCCCGGCGCCCGCCGCCCGCTGCAGGCCCTCCACGCGCAGCGCCCACTGGCCGCGCTCGCTGCCCGCCGGCACCTGCACACGCCACACGCCAATCACTCGCGCGTGCCCGCATCCCAAAGGCATCCGTGCGTGAGGATGCACCTGCCACACGGCGGACAGGAATCACTCTCACATGTAGGACACACCCCTCACGCATCCCTGACAAATGAGGGGCAGGAATCACTAGCACGTGTGAGATAAATTAAAAGTGCCGCATGGTGGACAGGAATAAACAGCACGTGAGGGATACATCACAAGAGCTGCATCCCTCACGCATCCATGCATGAGGATGCACCTGCCACACGGCGGACAGAAATCACTCCCACGTGCGAGATGCCACATCCCTCACGCATCTCTGCCACGTGGTGGACAGGAATAAACATCACGTGTGGGATGCATCAAAAGTGCCGCATCCCTCCACCTGCCACACGGCAAACAGGAATCACTCCCACGTGCGGGATGCAACATCCTTTACGCATCCCTGCCACATGGTGGACAGGTATTACCAACACGTGAGGGATACATCAAAAGTGCCGCATCCCAAACGCATTCGTGCATGAGGATGCACCTGCCACTTGCCACACGGCGAACATGAATCATTCTCACGTGCGGGATGTCACATTCCTCACGCATCCCTCACAAATGAGGGACAGGAATCACCAGCACGTGAGGGATACATCACAGGTGTCTCATCCCTCACGCATCCATGCATGAGTATGCATCAGATCGTCGCAGCCTGCAAATGCTCTAAACTCTCGACTCGTTTCCCAACAGGTGTGGTCTCGACAATTGGCATTGTCAGTCATAGAAACAAACAAACAAAAACAGTCCTACAATTCGATGTGAATATGAGGTCAGTAAGTTCTGAAAAAGTGTAACCGTCGCGTTTTGTCGAAAGTAGGAAGAAGTACCAGTTTCCTCCAAAAGCTAGTACAAACATTCTAAATAAACCGTCGACACAGTTGTTGCCAGAAACACACTGAACCACAATTTACAGCAAATTACCGTTATTTTTTGTTAAAGAGCAAACATTTTTGTCGATAAAATACAATACGCGTCGGTAATAACTTCCCGGAAGTTAATTTCATTGGTACGAAAAACCCACTGCCTCACAAAATGTTGTTAATTTGCGCTGAAAAGGAAGTACAAAGGCAAAAAATCCAGCTACAAATTTTGGCGCTGCTAACTTCCGCAACTGCTAGTTTTCCTTGCGTAGAGGGTACGCGGTCATCCTACGTAAGCAAAACAATTTAGAGAAACAAAACCAACCGATCCACAAATACGCTCTGGAAAGCAAGCGCATATCGTTGGAAGAGATAAAAGTCCGAAATGATTAAGCGATACACCGTACACATTTTAAATTGTATATGTAGTAATTAGAACACTTTAGCAATGTAGGACGACAGTTAGCACTAAACATGTATTTGGGAACGTATTTGTTGCAAGTGTATAATGTGTTAATAGGAGTTCCGATAACATGCAAGAGGCTCTGAGCAAATCTTAAAAGGTAGAAATAGCGGATGTAGAGGAATCATGAGCGCTACGTAATTTGACTAAAACGGAAGATTCCAGTCATTGGCGCCATATTAGTGACTTAGATGTGGGCGAGATGAGTCGGGAAACGATAGCTGGAGCGGGAAGCCAGATCAGTATGCAAGGCAGCGGCGTACCAATGATCTCAGCACAATGCTACTGCAGCAGAATTGGGCCGAGAGCGTATATGGGATTAAGAATTGGGGTGGGACGAATAGCAGCGGAAGGGAAAATAGCATACACGGAAACATGAGAGAGAACCGGAAGAGTAGGCCATGTACTTGAGAATTTCTTCAAAGGATGTTGTCGAACATCAGGCGATTAACCAACAGCGTCAGGCGATTAACCGACGGGATTAGGTGTAGCGGACAAGTTTAGCTGCGGGAAAGACTGATACGCGGCGAAAGAGAACAAGCGATAGCGAAAGAAACGAGTGACCGTAGTGAAGCCCTGAAATAAATATTCGAGAGCAAGACAAAAACAAAGTAGAGGAAAACATATTATTTTTAGGCAAAGGAACTTCCTTGAGTCAAGCACCTCACTGGAAGTTGTAGCAACGCGACGATGGAATCTAGTGATTTAGATGAGGGGACAGAATAAATCACGGTGGAAGAGAGGTAGCGAAGGGTGTACAGAAATTGAGACCGCAGTGGGTGGAACAAGCAGAGAAGCGGTGGATTCTTTAGGAGGCAAAGAGACGTGAAAACCAGTAGGGTCACCGGCAGCAGTAGTACCACGGCAAAAGCAACGGAGACGAGGGCGTGTGAGGGATTTAGCTGAGGGGGTGGAATGAGTAGATGGAAAAAAGCAATGATGCGAGCAGCAGGAGAGACCAAAGTGGAGGCCTCGGCGAAGCATATTCATGCAAAGAAGCTCACCAGTAGCGACAGCTGCAACAGCGCGGTCTAGGCGTAAGCATAGTCGCCGGGACCGAGGGCGAGAGGAGAGAAATATTTAGATGCGCGCGCGTAATGAAATTAGTGTGCAAGGAGACTCACTGAGAGCTGCAGTAGGCCGGCGTAGGATTCGCGACAGAGGGTGCTTTAGAGATTAAGCTGAAGCAGCGGGATGGGTTGACGCAGAAGGGAAGTAGAGAGAGCGAGAGCAAAGGAACCGTTTGGGACGGTCGCAAAAGCGTGGGAAGGTAATGAACCGAATGTTTCTTCCGGAGGTGTCGATGAAAGTTAGACACCTTTCCGGCAGTCCCCACAGCGCTGTGTATATTTCAGTATTCATATGGGTCGATAAGAAGAACGTTGACGGAAATGGAATCACAGAGCTGAGTGTACAAGCAGGTTCAGCCAGGCTGACAGCGTATTATGGAAATAACTGCGGGAGCGGTATGAGTAGTGGAGAGGGGAATTCGCGGGAAAGTAGCATGCAAGGCCGCTCACCGGCATCTACAGCGCGGCGAAGACCACTGGGAGAGGGCGCATGAGGGATTTAGATGAAGGGGCGGTGCGAGTTGTGTAGAGAGGCATTGCCAATGGCGGGCGCGCGGGGTGCGAGGGGGCTCACCGGAAGCTGCAGCAGCGCGGCGTAGGCGTCGGGGCCGAGGGCGTGCGTCTGCTGCGCCACCTCGCGGCCGTCGCACGTGAGGCGCGCGGTGAGCGAGCGCTTGTCGGTGCCCGGCCACAGCGCTAGTGCCGCCAGGGGCGCCCCGGGCCGCAGCCTCCGCGGGAACACCACCACGTGGCGCCTGCAACACAAGAACACGCGCCGGCTTAGCATCCTTCTGTCAAACATCACACCCCCTCTCTTTCTCCATTTGAAATCAACGGGAGATGTATAGGAATGCAAGAAGACCTGATGAATGTAATTAAACATTTTCTTGTTTTTCCTTTCTCCCACTTACCACAATATCAATAACAGTGACAACATAAACAATAATGTTTTATTGCTACCAGAAAGGGTTGGCTCGGTTTCAGTTGAGCACAAAGTATAAATATTAAAGACACATTAAATCGAATAATACATACAAATATAAAAAAAAACATATAGGTCTTATTATTAGAAGTTAAATAGTACCATTATAATAACAAATAAATTCATTTTAAAATATAAGTACAGCTGATAATGAAACTCATGTTACAAACGCATTACTAATAACAAATGAATAATAAAATTTAACTTTTGAATCATTACAGATTAGAATACTATTCCTAACCATGCTATAATAGTTTATGGCCATCTTCTAAAAATATCAAATTCTATACAAATAAAAGAAATGCACACTACAATTGATATAACTGAGATTGCTAATGACCAATACGATATCAAGTGACCTAAAATATTTTTTTTTAAGTTTATAAGGTACAGAAATAGTAATGAACAATAACAACAACCGATATATAATATTTGAACATACACAAATAACACCGAATTCTCACATAACTCCTTGTTATGTACGACTTATTAAAATTTTGTAAAAGACCAATTTTTAAACGTAATAAGAGTTGGCACAAGATTTGTTCTTTCTGCATAGTATTCTCCATTTTCATTCATTTATTTCCGTCTCGACCCTGAGAAACCATTACATTTTGGCAATGACTAGGCCCCTCCCGCCTTTCCAACACACCCCATTTACCCTAGTTACTCGAGCGATTAATTTTCAATCATATTCCTAATTATTACCGACTTTTTTACTTATTTGATACCGCCTTTTTTAGGACAACTACAAAAGGTCAGAAAGCTACCACTGTAAGTAAGATCGAGGTAATCGCAACGGTATACGAGAACCCACTAACATCCATGCCCCGAGCGGGATTCGAACCTGCGACCTTTCAAGCACGAGGCAGCTACGGCTCTTCAGGTTTAGTGACCTCGGCTGTCCTGGCCGGTTATATCTGAATTTTTCGATCATGTTACCGTTAAAGCCCGTAAACATGCTCCTTCCACACGATAGTGGCTACTCAAAAAGCTACCTGCTCATCTTCATACACCAAACGAACACCATCAGGTCCCAACTCGTTCTGTTATTCTCTTTCCATTCCCAAAACCCTATACGTTGTATTTATACCAGCTCAATGATTCATTGTGCTCAGTTTCTGGTTTAAGCAAAAAAAAGATTTGACGAATTTATTAAATAAATATTTTTTCTAGTATAATACATATAATTTACTACCTAGGCAATTGCGTATCGTGGTGGAACTCAATTACTTGACCGTGCATCTCTATGAAATACTCTCTTTTAACAGTATTAACATTACGCGGTATGGATTATCTCTTCCTTTGAACCGACTAACACTGAAGCAAATGTACATTATGTGTCAATAATGTGCATTATTTTACAACACCTTGGCAGATAAGATAAAACGATTAAATTCGTTATAAAAGTTCAAGTCCCAAGCGAAACTTTTCTGCTGCACAACTGTTTCTATACAGATAGAGAATATAGCGAACATCCAAAAGGAAAGTAATATTAATTTTAACAATGACATTTAATATATTATTTATCATTTGGATTGTAGAATTATAAAGAACTTTTAACAAGTATTGTACTTCAGCTTCTGGGTCAATGACCCTCATCTCGATCAGGTTTTCGTCCAGTTTCCCTGATCCGCGAGCAAATGCTGAGATGGACCCTTGTTTTGCTTCTGGACATAAATGTAACTTCAAATTAACTTCTCCCCATAGCACATCACACACAGTTTGTAACTGTTTTTGACATATATAAGTAAAAAAAATAATAATAAACATCTCTGTTAACAGTTAAATGTATAATATTTATGCCGCGGAAATGGCTTTATTTGAGAGGCTAATCAAGCTTTAAGATTGTGAATGAAGTAACATGTGGTGACGACAAACGATGACGCGCAATCAGTGTGACACACATCCAACACAAGGTTTATGAGTAATCAGCCAATAATAAGAGACTTGAAATTCTGTTCGATTTAAAGCTTAAAGCTCCTCTGGAAATACCGGTTTTAATAAATTAAAATTAGTTAAATAGTTAAGTTTCAGTTGAGTATATTCTAAATTTACAATTTCAAATTTACTGCAGGTCTTTCGGTTTATGGGTACTAAAATAACGGCATGCACCTGTCTCCAAGGCATGTCAACTGAGTGCATGAGTCTGGTCTTGGCAATTTCTCCGCCCGACAGAAGAATAGAGTGCAACTGTGACGAGGTCGATAATTTTGGAATCTTGTTTTAGAGATTCTTTAAATCTTTACAAACATGTCGTGAAATTGCTTACATAAATGTGCAAATGTTTATACACCAGAACACGGAATTAAAACGTCACTATAGCAGTAGGTTTCACGTTTTTAATTTTATTTGAGAAGATATGGAAATAACGACATTTTGAATACATATTCATCAAACAACAAACGTTTAGTATTAAGTATACATTTTTTACCTTTCAGAAATTAATTAAAAAAGGCGAGATATAACAAACTTTATAGCCAGCGTAGTATTATGTTAACGACACCATTCATTATTTTTAAATAACCTACCACATCCTTCATTTTAAAATGCAAATATTTTTATGCCACACCAAAGAATGCGTTGATACACAAGATACGGCGAATGAAAGCCGCGATAATCTGTTCGCCAATTCTCTTCCGCGGCGGCACTCCATTGAGGCAACCCGGTATTAACCAAAGCGGCGGCGGTCGCCCCGCCCACCTCATTACCCTCTGAATGGCGGCGCAGATGCACTGCGGCGTCATTGCCAAGAGCGCGGTGCCGAGGGCCGCTGCAGCGTCGGGCGCCGGGGCCGAGATGGCCGATAAGGGACCGGTCCATCCGCCATCCTGGCGCTGCCAGCAGCGGGAGAAACGCGGAGAAATCGTTTGGCTCACGCGCGGAATTCGAACCCACGTCCATTAAGTGGGACGGAATTGGCCTGATCGCCGATGGCTAGCAACGGAGAAACGAGCGGATTGGAGGCAGGGGAGGGGGGAATGTATAATTTTGCGGCACACGGATCGATCCAAGCCGGTTGACCAAGAACCGCTTTAGTTATTTTGTTTGCCATTTTTTATTATAATCGAATTACATCGTGAAAACAAAAAACAACGAAGAAACACTATTTATTCAATTTAGACTACCCGGGTTAAATATTTCCTACGCGCAGTTTCCTAACCAGTGATCCTAATTGCTTTTCTCTGTGATGACTTACAACACCGACTCAGCAACGTGACGCACTTGATGACATCGGGGAAGACATCTAAATTAGTATAATTATCGAAAGTCGCCAAGTAAAACCAAGTACTCTGCCAGGCACTTTGACAGGCGAGAGAGAAGAGGGGGAGAGCCTTCAAACCCTTCAGAAATGAACAACAAGATATATGTCAGTGTACGGTTAGGTTGACTCGCCTTTGCATTTCTCGAAAGAATTTATTTTTCATATAGTCTAAAATCACGCACTACACACGTAAATGGTATTTTACATCTCATTGAAAGAAAATGTGTCAAAATTTCTAACAGCTTATGATACGTAATACAATCATAGAAACGTTTAGCCCTCAATCTTCACGTAAATACATTTCAAGACATCTTTAAAAGAAAATTTTGGCTACGGTAATTGGAAAGGCATTGCTCTTACATAATTACCACATACAGTCAACTCTGGTTATAGTGAACTTAAGTCACTGGTCCCGTTTCACTTACATTACAAATAAGCATAAGAATATTCGGTTATAGTGAATACGAACCTCGGTTATAGTGAACGTAGGAAATACAACGACCTGGAAATTTTAAGGACAAATGAAGATATTGCGATTTTGTTCGTGCTCTGTATATTTTGCTGTATCTCTATATTAATAAAATCAGACTTTATGAAGAAATTCTTAATTTTTACATCATCGGATATAGTAAACCTCTGATGTAGTGAACTAAAGATGATGGTCCCCAGACGTTCAGTATAACCGGAGTCGACTGTATACGAGCTAAAATTGCCACGAAATTTGTTAGTGGAAACTTTTCTTCACTCTCTAGCTACAATATGGTATTTTCTTAGTGGAAAAAATTGTAAGTAATAGTTGTATAAATGAAGAAATATTTAAAATAAAAGCCTCTTTAAAGACAATATTAAATCATTACAGATCCAAACATGTTTCATGAATTTAAATATTCCCATCACTAGCAGATGGGATGGAACAAAGATAAGTAGAATGGTTTCATGCTGCTCCAGCAGCTTCCATTCTGAAGCCTTGTCTGTAATCTTCTTAGACGTAGTACAACTAAGTTCTTCAGTGTTCCAGAAGTAGTGACATTGACTACTTTTTAAAATCCCTTGAGAAAAACTGGAAATTACGACAAAAATTGCTTTACTTTTCAATTACACACACTTCTACTCACTCAGTGTTCCAGAAGTAGTGACTGACTACTTTTTAAAATCCCATGAGAATAACTGGAAATTACGACAAAAATTGGTTTACTTTCTAATACACTTCTACTCACAATACGGATGTTCTTTAAGGTGTTTCACGAAATTAAATTTTTATTTTACCAATGATGGCGATAGTTTACGAAAAATCACAGTAAATCAAGAAATTCTACACAATATCATGGATGTATTTTTCAAGTGCACAACTATCAATAAAAATAATCATGAGGAAGCAACGTAATTGAAAGAGCATCCACAAGTATTTCCCATCTCTCCCAGGCCGTGCCAGGTACGAGATAAACGTAATTTTTTCTTCCACTCATATTACTTCACTGCCAGCTATTTATTCTTAACGATGAAACCT